ATTCATATGTTGATGCCCTATCCCAATGTGATGGTATTTGAAAATAAGGCTTTAGAGGGTAATTAGGGTTAAATGAGTCATGACGTTATGACCCTCATGATGGGATTGGTAGCTTTCTAAGAAGAGGCAGAGAGAGAGATTGCTCTCTCTCAGTCATTTGAGGACACAAGGAAAAGGTGGCTATCTGCAAACCAGAGAGAGGGCTCTTAGCCAGGAACAAAATCAGTCAGTACCTTGATCCTGGACTCCCCAGCCTCCAGAACTGAGAAGTAAATGCCTGCTATTTAAGCCAACCAATCTATGGTATTTTGTTATAGCAGCCTGATCAGACTAATACATGCACATACTGTCTACCCAATTCATTTTCCTACCATCTGTTTTTCAGGTTTATGCTGTCCCTACATACTTACCATATAAGTAATAAATGATAGTTTATGATCACCCAAAATTCAGAATAGTTAACAGGTTGTCAAGTTTCTGAAACCCATTTTCCCTATTTAAAGTTCTCCTGACTCAAATGCACTATGTATTTTTATTCTTTTTGTTTCTAATCCTCACCTGAGGAATATGTTTTTATTGATTTTTTGAGAGACAGGAAGTGGGGGGGGAGAGAGAGAGATGTGAAAAGGAAACATCAATTGGGTGCTGCCTGTATGTGCCCCAGCCAGGGATCAAACCCACAACCTAGGTATGTGCCCTGACTGGTACTCAAACCTGTAACCATTTTGGTGTACAGGACAGTGCTCCAACCAACTGAGCAACCTGGCCAGGGCTCAAATATACTCTTAATTATTCAAAGTACTTCAATGTAATGGTCTTCTTATTCAGCTATCTGAGGTTTGATTAAGATGAATGCATGCAAGAGCCCACACCAGACTTCGTGCTGGGAGTGTCAGATGACCTTACCAGAATGTAACCACCAATAAATAGCACGTCCTGGCACAGACTGAATGGGTGAAATGTGCTTGCTGTGAGATCCTCGCAGCATTCCACGGTCTCTTAACAACTTGGGTTGTGGGAGGATGAAGGAGAAGAAGCATAATGCTCTCTCTTTCTAAGGCAACATGAATTCAAGCAGTAAAGTGTATTATATTTCCATTTTTTCTAATAGCCATGTAAAAACTATGACCAAAGGAAGGGAGGGATTGAAGGAAACTATGAACTAACCTCCAATGGGAACCAAGAGACCTGCCTTTCCAGACTGTTCCATTAGAGCTTCACCCTTAACCATAACTCAAGTTGTCCTTAAAAGAGTCCGTAAAACTTTAAATTGGCTCATTCTCTTCATTCCCATTTGCAAATCAAGTGGTTTGGGTATTGTTATCCCAATGCCATTTAATTTCCTGGAATGATGGCAAAGCAAGTCATGCTGCATGTATACAGATTTCTTTGTAAAATATTTGTCTGGAGCCTGCCTTCTCCAAGAATTGTGCTGAACCAGCAGGATGGGCATCTCTTGGGGGCTTCTCCAGGGTAGCATGTTGGCCCCACCCCAAAACCACCAAGTCGAAGCTACAGTTTATCAAGATCGCCAAGTGATGCCTGTGCTCATCGAGTTTGAGAGACACTGGCGTAGAGTTTTGTGCTCTCCACTCATTAATAAAACCTCAGGAGCAAGACAAAGGTTTTCCCATAATCCTAACATGGCATTTTGATATTCTACTAACAATTAGGATTCACAGTAGGGTCTCTTTTTCCACGTATAAGAAAATCTAATAGTTAAGTCTACAAATGAATCAGAAAAATTGTTTCCATTTCAATTTAGTATGAATGCAGTCTTGCTCACAACTGCTAAATTGGAAGCAAAGAACTGTTTCCTTTCAGGTTAATGGGTTTCCCCTCATCAAGCTGTCCTTCTTTCATGTAATCTAGTCTTGCCTCCACCTATTTATTTTTTGATAACTGTTCTTCTTTTTAATAGGATTATCCATCCTTCCAATATTAACAGCAATTAGACGCACCTCATGGTGCGTCATGCCAACTCAATCTGCGACTGTCAGAGTAGGATGATCTTAGTCTTGTCTCAGTAACAAACTTTGACAACCAAAACAAAGCAGCAGGCAAAATACACGAAGAGAATTAACAATATAGGATCACAGATGACAGGAACTTCTCCAACAGGATGGCTGCCTCTGCCCATTCTATCCACATGGAAACAATGGCGCTCACCATGCTGGTACTGGTGATGTGGGGACATAGTCTTCAATTGTATTTTTTTGGAAATGTGTTTAGAGAAGACTCCTTAAAAGCCTTAGAAATATTAACATTCTCTTTCCAATTCTAATCTATTTAATTTTATTGGAAAACATTTACATAGCTCATCAGCAGACTCTCTAGTATCGAGTAATATTTAGCACGCTGTAATCATGGGAACGAGAGATTTAGATTAAATGCTGCTTTTTATTACTATTCAATCATCATAAGTTGTTCCATTTTTCATCTTTTTAGTCAACAGATTTCAAAGGTGGGAAAATATCTTCATTTACAGATATACCTATATTTATCTCCTATTATATTTTCCATTAGTGTCTACATGAGATTTATTCCTGGTGATTCCCAACAAAGTAAATGTGAATCTTCCAACACCAGATGCTAATAATAAAGATAAATGCTCCCTATCTCACAGAGAAGTTACAAAAATAAATTAGATAATAGTTACAGAGGAATTTGACCTTACTAGAGAGAGTATATAAATGAAATGTGAAAAACAAACATTTAAAGAACAAAAATTTCATTCAATTGTAGTCAAATTGACTTGACAGTCCCAAATTAGGCTCTGAGTAAAGAAAACAGGCCTACTAATCGTGGTTTCCCTGGCTGTGGATCAATGCCAAGTACTGACAATGAATTACAGGTCTGGGCTGAAACCTCGGGCATCCGTTTGGATATGTGCAAAATGATCTCTTTGTCTTTCTCTGTATGTCTACATTTTTCATACTTGGAATATTGGTAAAGCTTTGCATATGTTGGGATAAATGATCAGATATTTTAAACCTCTTTCTACATTTAATAACATATAAGGATTGGCCCTAACCGGTTTGGCTCAATGGATAGAGCATCAGCCTGCGGACTGAAGGGTCCCAGGTTCGATTCTGGTCAAGGGCATGTACCTTGGTTGCAGGCACATCCCCAGTAGGAGGTGTGCAGGAGGCAGCTGATCGATGTTTCTAACTCTCTATCCCTCTCCCTTCCTACCTGTTGACATAGGTAACACATATACATCCAGACAAACTCTTTTTACATTTATTTTATCTAGAACCAAAAAGGAGTTTTCAGCAGGACAATGGACAAAGAGAGAATCTTAGTTATTATATTGAAAGGCAAAGCTGTCCTCACAGGTATGGGAAAACTCATTTTTTTAAAATTGATGTTTTAGAAAGAAGGGGGGGAGAGAGAGAGAGATTAATTGGTTGCTTTCCCTAATGCACTCCAACTGGGATTGAACCCACGACTCAGGTATATTCCCTGACCAGGAATTGAATCTGCAACCCTTGGATGCACAGGATGATGCTCCAACCAAGTGAGCCAGCCAGCCAGGGCAAAGCTCATTGTTAATGGGGTTATTTGTGAGACACAGGAAAGTCATCCAACCCCACCTATTTTTTTTTAAAATATATTTTATTGATTTTTCACAGAGTGGAAGGGAGAGAGATAGAGAGTTAGAAACATCGATGAGAGAGAAACATCGATCAGCTGCCTCCTGCACATCTCCCACTGGGGATGTGCCCGCAACCCACGTACATGCCCCTGACCGGAATCGAACCTGGGACCTTTCAGTCCGCAGGCCGACGCTCTATCCACTGAGCCAAACCGGTTTTGGCAACCCCACCTATTTTTCAAACGTCTAGCCACATTGTCCCAGATTCTACCATTTAAGATTCTTCCGAGTTAAAAGAAGTAGCTGCATATTCATGGAAAAAGGCGAGATTAAAAACTATAGGAAGACCAACAATGTAAGGAACCAACACTTACTGCATCCCTACTTCGTGCCAGGCACTATTCTAAGTGCTTTACCAGAACTATCTCATTTAATTCCCAGTTCAACCCTTTGAAATAGGTACGATTCTTATTCCAATGTTAACAGATGGGCGAACAGGCACAGGGAGGTTAAGAAGCCTGCCCAAGATGGCACAGGCTGCAAATGGCATATCTAGACCCCCCAACCCAGGCCTCTGTGTCTGCACCCAGAACCAACATGTTTTCCTACAAGTGTAGGTGTTAGCACCATACAATATATTACTGTTTTAAAATGAGACAAGCTATACTTTGCCAACTTTGATGTAAGGAAAAATGTGAACACTGACAAATTTTAGATTGTTTGAGCAATTGTTGAATTTTTCTAGAACAGCCCAGGTTTTAATATTTGGGCAGCCTCCGCCCTCCCTTTTCAGAGAACATGTCAACAGCAAACATTCACAGTATAATCTTACTGTGTTGAATTGCTCACCAAGAACAGAGCACATGCTAAAAGGAAAGCTCTCTTGTGGAGCCAACAGCAGATATTTGGGTGGGAATGAGAAATGCAACATGGAAGTGAATTTAGAGGTGGAAATAGCCGAGGAGCTTAGATAATATACTGCGAGTAATTGACGTCTATTACATTGTAACTAACTTCTACAGTAAGAAGCTACCATGGATCTTAGAATGTAGCATAGTTTCTTGATACATACAATGTAAAAAAGGCCTTTAGAATTGTTCTCTAATGGCAGAAATATGTGCTGTGCATGTTTTTTTATTTCTTTTATCCGATAAAACATGTGGCTTTTGGAAAGAGATGAACCGATACCCCAGGTTCCCTGCTCCTAACAGAACACTGTAATATGGTTAAGCACAAACCTTTCCATAGCAACAGACTGTATACAGACACGAACCCTATGTATCTCCCTTGAAGAAAGCTTTCAGGTTATAACAGACAAATTCAAAATAAAGCCTATGATCCCAGCACTCTGAAGCCTGCTTCCCAACACACTCAAGAAAGGATACATTGACAAACGACTCACCATGGCTCTCGTAGCTCATTTCTTTGCCTTCTTTTTTCTTTAAATGGCACTTCAGCCTTAATAGTTACAAAGGTTTCAAGAGCGAGGACTAGCACCACCTGAAAAAAAAAAAAAAAAGGTCAGAAATCCAATACAATCTTGGTTTGAGAAGTTCAGCACTGGGCTTATTGAATAGCATTGGAAGTATTGGTTTCTTTATCTTGAGACCAAACACATTCATGCCTGCTACCCTTCACTGTTTTATTTAGTGCTTTTCCACTTTAAGAACATTATGTGAACACTGGCAACTTGGTTAGCTATAATTCTATACTAGTAATAGCCATTTCACATAGGGGAAAAGGTAGCTTGGAGGATGATATCTTGAAATGTTTTCATAAGCACATATAAAAAACATGGCATTAGGCATTGGGAGTACTGGCTAAAGGAGGGGCAAACTAGGCTTATGCAGAGAGTTGTGTATGTACAGGATAATGAGATTCCCCAAACGCTTGCCTATGCAGAGTGGATGTCTCCCATTGCTCAACCCAATTAGGCAGGAGGCGCTGCCTGGGGCTGGAGAGGAATCTGCTCACTATTGTCTCCGCGTGGGGAGAAGTGAATGCTCTGTGCAGCTAGCACTGTGCTTTGTGTTTTTAACATGCGGAACTAGGCTTGAGACTGCTATTGATTATGCTTAGGAGAGAGGAAGTTCATGATATGTTGCAAGTGTATGTACTATATTTCATCCCTATTCAGATTTAAAGCAGCATCCTTCTCCAAATAGTCTACTCTGAAGGTTGCATGCCGGAAAGTGAAACAGATGGTCCTGTTTTATATTTCTTTTCCTTTAGAATTTCTTATGCAGCTCAGGGACCTTGGTCTTCTGGGATCTCAAATTATATTTCAGCCCATTATACGTATATCAGCATTGATTCTAAGATGGTATGTAAGAATTATTCAAGACCCACATGGCCGCAGCCTTCGCTGGTTCTTAGTATGCCATGTGCTGTTCATTTTAATTGAAAATATTCTAAAAGCAAGATTGATGTGTTTTCTATCCCCTTAAAATAGAAACAGGTTCTGGGCTCATAATTGAGCACTCATAAGCCCCCTCTCCTTATTAACATGCCCTCTCTAATTTGTGCCTCTGTTTGCACAATATAAATGGCCTTTAACAGCCCTTCATTCATACAATGGTCTCACTAACCCAAAGAAAATTAGTAGCAGCCAAAGGCCTATTTTTACTGACACAGAGACAAAAATGCTAATTACCTTAAAATATTCTCAAGTGTATATCTTTGGCACCCTTCCAGGCAAGGCTCAAAAGTTTTTTTCTTTTCCCCTGTTATTTACTAGTTATAGGGAAAGTTGTTTTTGTTTTACATTCAGGCTTCCAGATAAGTATAAATTTGTATTTATAATTTGAAATCTTTTGAGTCCAGAGTACTAATGATGGGTGAAGTGTTCGTTTGCTTTCTCCTTACTCATGGATACACTTGACAGCATTATTCATTTGTGATTAACTATGGTTTTACTATTTTGTTAAGGCACTCAGGGACATTTGCAGAAAAAAAAGTCTAAAAATTTGAATTTATTTAAACATATTAGTTATCATAAAATATTAATTTATTCTCAGAGTCACTTTTCTCTGATCATTAAATTTATTTGTCCAAGTTTATACTCTGAAGCACTCCCTTTTGAAATGGTTTTAAAACTGAAACCTCTGATGTACAAAATTCAATGTGACTTATTAAATTATGATATCAGGTGTGCTGACAATATTTACATAAAAACAGTAAGCTTTTTGTCATGTATGCAACATATATTTATTGAGGATGCATTATCTCCAGAGTACTTTGCTAGGCCTGGTAATGTAAAAAAAAAAAAATCAATAAGCTAAAAGGACTTGCCCTTGAGGGAATTTAAAATTCAAGTTTAGAGAAAGTGTCCATCCATGGATAAATGCATAAAGAAGATGTGGCATATATATATACAATGGAATATTATTCAGCTATAAAAAGAAGGAACTCTTGCCATTTGTGACAACATGGATGGCCTCTAAGGGCATTATGTTAAGTAAAATAAGTCAGACAGAGGAAGACAAATATTTTATGATCTCACTTACATGTGGAATCTAAAAAGAAAAAAAAAGGAGCTCATGGATATAGATAACAGATTAGTGGTTGCCAGAGGCAGGGGATGGAGATGGGAATAGGTGAAATGAGTGAAGGGATCAAAAAATACAAACTTCCAGGTATAAAATAAATAGTCATGTCCTCAATGTATAGATAACAATACTTTGGTGCATATTTGAAAGTTGCTAAGGGAGTGGATCTTAAAAGTTTTAATCACACACACAACAAAATTGTAACTATGCGTGATGATAAATGTTAACTAGGATTATTGTGGTGATTGTTTTGCAATATATATACAACTATAAAATCATTATACTGTACATCAGAAACTCATGTTGCATGTCAATTATACCTCAATAAAATTTTTTAAAAATCAAGTTTGGAGAAAAAAATATATTCACACTAAAAGTTAAATAACAGTATAGAACAGTGATTTTCAACCTGTGTGCTGCAAGAATTTTTTAAAACATGCAGTATCTAACCATTTAATCAGGGGCAAGGGGCACTGGCTTCTCTTCCTTTAGATTGTCATTAGGGAGATGCAAACTGAACTGCAATGAGATATTACTGCACACCCACTAGAACAGCCACTAGACAGACACCAGCCAGTACTGGCCAGGATGTGGAGAAACTAGAACCCCCATACGTTGCTGATGGAAATATAAAATGATATAGCCACTCTGACAGATTTACATTGTCCTAAAAAGTTAAACATAAACTTACCATAAACCCAACAAGTCACTCCTAGGAATCTACTTAAGAGAAATGAAAACATATATCCAAACAAAGATATTTATATATATATATGAATGTTCATAACAGCATTATTCATAATAGCCTAAAAGGCAATTTTATAGAGACAGTAAGCACATCAATGATCCCTTGGGGCTGGGGGCAAGAAAAGGGGTTAACTAACTGCAAATGGGCACGAGGGAACTTTAGGGGGTTATGAAAATATTCTAAAACTGCATTCTAGTGATGGCTGCGCAACTGTATACATTTACTAAAAATCAGTAAGATGTATACTTACAATGAGTGGATTTTATGGTATGTAAATTATCTATAATAATAAAAGCGTAATATGCTAATTAGACCGGACAGCCCAACGACCTTCTGGATGTCCTTCCGGATGACCTTCCGGACAAAGCCAGGGCTGCGAGGGCCAAGACAAGCTGCCTTGGCTGCCCGGGCAGAGCCCCTTGCACGAATTTCGTGCATCCGGCCTCTAGTACTTTAATAAAGCTGTTCAAGAAAAAAACAGTGTCACATATTTTCATAGGAATGGGTCAAGGTAGTCACCTGAACTTTTCCATGCTGAAATGCACCTCAAACATGTATCGATATCAGCAAATGTGAATAATTCTTCACAGTTTGCCATGTCCCTTACAATTTTCAAATGTATTTGTTGTTCACACCAATCTTGTGAGGTAGGGTGAGCAAGTATTATGTAATGAGTAATAAGCACTTCTGTTTTTCCTTTTAGCTTTGTTTTGAGGAAACCTTAAATACTATATAAAGCATATAATTTAAAAATCACAGCCACCCTGGATAATGTAATAAAGAAGATGACAAGCATTAGCATCGCCCCACGTACCCCTGATGCTTTTACAAAGACAATTATCCCCCATTTGCCAAACTACACTAAACAACAGGTAAGTTGTTTAGTATGAATCTCCCAACTGGAGACTTGTTACAGGTCACTGTCGATGGACTGGGCTGAGCAACCTCACCTGCAGACTCACCCTGTGTCCGCCTGCCTCACTGAAGCCGGCTGTGGCTGCTCACTCTAACACATGCATTTACAAACACTGAAATGCATGTAATATCATTATATAGACGAGGCACGCAGCGGCTAACATTAAGGAGCTTGTATTCCCCCGCAGAAACAAAGCTGCCAAAAACCCCCAAAATGGAAACCAGTGTATTAATTTGGCTCATAGCAAATCCTTCTCTATTATTTCTCTTGAAAGCTCAAAAGGAACTTAAACAAACAACTCCAACATAGCCTGAAGCAGAGAATGACATGTTTAAAGAAATGTGACTTATAAAGTGTCCAATTATGTAATTTGAAAGTGCATGTAGCATATGCACAAATACACTGAAACCCAGTTAAAAATCACAGGACCCTCCCTTATTTTGATAACATATACGAAGACAGGCCAAACTGGCAGGCCTGTGCACCCAGCCCCAGATTGAGTGCTCCGGGCTAACCTCTCCCTGCCTCCTGCTCACAGAGTTAAGTGGGAAAGGAGTTCTCAGAGGCGGACGGAGATCAGACCCTTCTACACCGAGCATCAGCCTTCCCATCTCAGCCTCACAGTCGCAAAGTTGTCTCCAGATATGCTGATGCGACCGCTGCTTTCCAAGGAAGGCATGAAGGCTCTGTGAGCTTAGGGTCCTGTGTCTCCCTGAATGACCTCCGGACACCCTTTTGCAGGGACATGTGTTGCTTCGGGATGCTTCCAAGATCTTTTTTTTTTTAAAATATATTTATTGATTTTTTTACAGAGAGGAAGGGAGAGGGCACACTCCCTACTGGGGATATGCCTACAACCAAGGTACATGCCCTTGACCGGAATTGAACCTGGGACCCTTGAGTCCGCAGGCTGACGCTCTATCCACTGAGCCAAACCGGTTAGGGCAGCTTCCAAGATCTTTGATCGAACACAAGCCATGTGTCTTGACTATGACTGAAATGTGAACCAGACTGGGTTAGTCTAGATCCGTGGTCGGCAAACTGCGGCTCGCGAGCCACATGCGGCTCTTTGGCCCCTTGAGTGTGGCTCTTCCTAAGCCTTAGGAGTACCCTAATTAAGTTAATAATAATGTACCTACCTATATAGTTTAAGTTTAAAAAATTTGGCTCTCAAAAGAAATTTCAATCGTCGTACTGTTGATATTTGGCTCTGTTGACTAATGAGTTTGCCGATCACTGGTCTAAAGAAACTCAGAAATATTGAACTGATTTCAGTCAATAGTTAATTTTGATACTTTCAAGTTGTAAGAATTTCATGTTAATTTATACGATGTGATACATAAAGTACTGGAAAAAGCATGGGACTCAGGGGCATGAGAATTGTGTTCTGGAATGCACCCCTGTAATCTTGGGGAAGTTCCTCAACTTCTAGGACCTGTGTTCTCAACTAAAAAAAAAAAATCTGGGTTTTTTTTGGATGAAATATTCTCTAAGGTCCTAATCATAATTTGACAATCATTTAGTGAGGTGTTACTGTTATTCTATAAGATAGAAATATTTATCTGAATAATTCATTGAGGTCACATGTATTTTGACCTAACATGCCCTCTGGCCTTTGCTGAACTGTTAGAATAAAAACAAACAAACAAAACTTAGAATTTGAAACTCATAGACACAGAATCCATTTGTGCTATCATAAAATGCCACAAAAGTTACAGCTTCAGAATGAGAATGATAAAGACAGGAAGCAGATATTAATTGAATATTTCACAAACACATATATACATACAGTTGCAAGGAATGTCATCTCAAATAGTGCCTTTTACTTTCTTTTTGATAAGTCTTCACACTTCCTAAAACCCCAGTGTTCCTCGAAGTTACTTTAGTGGCCCTTGTGAGGATTCAAAGAATGAAATCCATTCCTCCCCTGTCTCCTTAGCACCTTTGCTTTTTACCTATTTATTTGGCTTCTATTTAATATTTTGTTTGGAAAAGATTCCTTGGATAAATACAGTCTGAAAGGCATTGCACTGAATAATGTAAAAGATTTTGCTTAAATAGAGCACTTTAAAGAAGTATTTTGTTATTATAATACCACTTTGAATATGTCATCTTACAAGTTTTTCCAGCAAAAAACAAAGGTTAGAAAGTAATTTTCCATTTCGTCTTTTCTGAGGCTATAGATGACACACTATATTTAATTTTAGAGTCCCTGTACAAATCATCAACTACTGTAATCACTGTACAAATATTAATATTTGATTCAAGGGGTCTCCTAAGTTATAGCATAATCAGAACTCTGGATGGATAGGCTGCTCAATGGGAAAATCATGTTTAGACAGTTGTAATGAAACAGGTTTGATAGTCTTATTATCATAAAATTGATTGATATTTGGTGCAATTTAATCTTTGCCAGGAAGATTTTTGAGAAAAGAAACAATCAGTAACTTAGATTAATCCCCCACACTTCCCCTTCAGTCCAATTCATCTATCTCTTACTCGATGAATGGCCCTTTGGTCTGCTGGTTAGAACAAATTCCTTTTTGTTTCATAATGCAAGGAATTAAGAGTTGGTTTTTAATTTTATTTTTTTTTAAGGACACATGTCAATGTTGATTTGTAAGGTTGTAAGTAAAAGACTACCCTGCTTTGAATATCATTGACTTTCTAAATTCACTCAGAGAGCATAACAAGATAGTAAAAACACAATATAATCTTTGGGTCATTTCCCCCAGGACTCTGAATCTATTTACCACCCAGACAGGTTCTATGATACTGAGTGACTTTGTGAAATAAAGGATAGATTATTTCAGCCAAAGGATTTTTTCATTTCTGTTCCCTAAATGTCTGCATTTTCCCCATAATTGTTTTAGATTGCTCCATAAAATGCTTTGGGGACCACTGAGATAAAGTGTTATGAAAATGGCCACTATATTGGAAGAAAGTGTAAAGGGGTCCTTTCCTATGCAGAACACCCACCAGTAAATCACAGCAGGTGGAGAGGCAGCTGATGTCACCATGAAGATCATTGCAGAATGTCCAGGAGAGTCAAATGGAATGGAGTCATTTCTCAGCTCTTTCCAAACCCCATGGAGCTGACAGCATGACAGCCTCATCCATTTGGGCTTGTGTATCTCTTGGGCCTGACTTCCAGTAGGTTTAGCTCACCACACAAAGCCGGTGAGAAAGATTCCCTTTATCTTTATAAGTGGTTCACTTTCTCTTTTTTTCTTCCTGCAGGATCCAGCCTCTGTTTTTTTTCCCCAAGTTCCACTCTAACGAAAAGGCCAGCATTAATACACTCAACAGGCTCATTCCAGAGGGGGCTGAGCCTGCCACAGTTCTCACTCCCACCCACTTTTGTTGTTGCTCTCGGGAACCTGATTTGAGTGGGCAGATCTTCCAGAACAGGATTATGGCGTGGTTGGTGGGGCCATCCCAGGGTTTTGAAGCGAAGCCACGGTAAGCTACCTTCCTTCTTTGGCTCTAAGTCCCCTTCCTGTCTCAACATACCTACATGCCCCAGGATCTCCGAGTTCTCCCTGGGGAAACAGCACAACCTGGAAAACTACACCAAATGGCATCTTTGCAGCCGATTCAAAAGCCTGGTAGTTGCTACAGCGGCAGATTTTCAGGAGACAGGCTCAGAGAAAAACCAGGAATTGCTGACCCTGACACTGAAATTTTTAAGTCGTCGAAAGAAACTATGTTGTTGGGGAAATGAAAAGTAAAAAAAACATTAGAGAGCTGGGACAAAATATGATTCCACGTAAGGATAAGGGAAACGGGGGGGGGGGGGAATTAATTGCTTTCTTTGGATCAACTTAGATTTGTGCAGAACGTTAATTTTGACTATATATATATATATATATATATATATATATATATATATATCACTTTAATCATAATGACCCTGATGAAGTTGGAGGCAGAGCTCTGAAGCCTTGCCTGTCTTTGATTATGAGCTAGCTGGGCTTCTCAAGGTGGTGGGGTGGAGCGAAGGGGGTGGAGAGAGTGAAGAGGTATCCTAAGCCCAGAATTCCTATTGACCCCTCTCCTCCTTCCTGTGCTGGCGAGGAACAGGAGGCTGGGACGCTGTGTGCTCTGCGACTTGCATAACAAAGGCAGGTTCTCACCGGGAGCTCTAGCAGCAGCAACCTTGCTGGATTGCCCCAAGACACTCTGGCACAGAGCTGGAGAAGGTGCCACAAACAACCCCGGAAGCCCTCCGCCCAGGTCTGGTTACACCTGGTTTCTCCAGAGCAGATTGCTCAGCCAGCCTTCATAATCCCAGAGGAAGGCCGGGGCAGGAGGCTGGATTCCAAGCTACCTTGGCCATAATGTATGGAGGGCTTTAAAAGTAGAAAACAAAACTTTGAACTCAACGCATCTGCAGCTTTATGACTCAGGTGTGTTATTTACCTTCAGGGGCACCAAAGATCACTGAAGTTAAAGTGACAAAAAAAAAAAAGTCTGTGAGCTGCCGAACAGAAAAGCGTGTCCAGACCCGACCTAGCTGGTTCTCCTACCATGTTCACTTGGCGGGAGGAGCAGGAGCCGGGCCTTGCCCTCCTCCTCTTCTCCTCGGTAGGACTGCCCCTACTCACAGCGCTGGCATCCTCTCCTCTTCAGCTTCCCAGAGTCGAGAACAGTGGTTCTCAACCTTCCTAACGCCGCGACCCTTTAATACAGTTCCTCATGTTGTGGTGACCCCCAACCATAAAATTATTTTCGTTGCTACTTCATACTGTAATGTTGCTACTGTTATGAATCGTCATGTAAATATCTGATATGCAGGATGTATTTTCATTATTACAAATGGAACATAATTAAAGCATAGTGATTAATCACAAAAACAATATGTAATTATATATGTGTTTTCCGATGGTCTTAGGTGACCCCTGTGAAAGGGGGTCGCGACCCACAGGCTGAGAACCGCTGGTCTAAAATAAAGTAATTTGGTGGAGATGGGGGCAGGGAGAAGAGGGAGGAGGATGGGAGGTGGAAATGCAAATGGCTTGTGAGGAAACATGCAGGGGACCCTCGGTGTCCTCGGGGGATTGGCCGCAGGCCCCTCGGATGGCAAAATCCAGGATGCTCAAGTCCCTTACACAAAAAGCGTAGCAGCTGCACGTAACCTGGACTCTAAGTGATGCCTAGACGGCCCCTAAGAACACCGCACACCGTGTGAACACTGTGGACCAGCTGGTCTGCTGTGCTGTTTGGGGAATAATGATGATGAGTAAAAAGCCCGAGCACGTTCAGCGCAAACGCGGCCTAACTGCATGTCAGCAACAACATCACGTGTCTTTCCCCCAGCAGCGGTTCTCAGGTTCTCAACCTGTGGGTCGCGACCCCTTTGGCGGTGGAATGACCCTTTCACAGGGGTCGCCTAAGGCCATCCTGCATATCAGATATTTACAGGACCATTCATAACAGTAGCAACATTACAGTTATGAAGTAGCAACGAAAATAACTTTATGGTTGGGTCACAACATGAGGAACTGTATTTAAAGGGCCAGAAGGTTGAGAACCACTGCCCCAAAGCGTTTTCAACCCGAGGGGGGCTGAATCCTCGGGTGCGGCGCCCCGGATGCGGAGGGAGGGGGCCGCCGTCTTAGGTCCGGGGGTGAAGCCACTGCCAATGCTCAGAGCAGAGCTCGGGGTGGACATGGCCGCGCAGCCGCTGGTCTGCACGCCCCTCAGAGCGGCCGGGCCTGCCAAGGCCTGTCCCCTCCTCGCGGGCGGACAGCAACGGCCCCCCATCCGCTGCGCCGGGGCAGCGGGCGCCCTTCTGCGGAAGCGCCTCGCACGGAGCGCGGCCGAACAGGTGGTGAACTTAAGTCTGAAACCAAGAATCACTGTGACTCCACAGAAAGCAAGTTAGCGGGAGTCCACGTGACACGCGGCCCTTTCCGTTACGGAGAAAGCCGGGCCCCACAGGAAGGAGCGGCTGCGGGCCCGGCCCGGCCCGCGGGGAGGGCGGGCTTCCCGCGCTCGCCCTGGAAGGGGAAGCTCCCAGGCGGCCCCAGGGGCCGCTCTCCTCGCCCTGCCGGGTTCCCTCCTCGGGAAGAAGGGCAGCTATTAGCAACTCCTACTGAGGTGTCCCTGTGAGAGTGAGTGTGAGAGTATGTGTGTGTGTGTGTGTGTGTGTGTGAGCGTGTCCGGTACGTGTGCTGGCGGCGGGCTGGGAAATTACCTAGTTCCTCAGAGGTCCTAGGTTGGCAATGCAGACAGTGCACAGTGTGGGAGGCCCTGGGACCGGCCGGGGCGGAGGCGGGTGTTTGCGACAGGCCGGTTCCGAGTATCGCCCCGCCCTGCTCCGCCAAATCCTCCGAAGGCCCCAGAACCGGTTCCACTCCTCCCGGCCTCTCCCGGGCGGGCAGGAGCTCGGAGGTGCCTGCGCGCGGTCCCGCCTTCCCAGGCCCCGCCCCTTCCCTCGCGGCCCGGCCCGCCCCTTCCCAGGCCCCGCCCTTCCCCTCGCGGCCCGCCCCTTCCCTTCCCAGGCCCCGCCCCTCCCCTCGCGGCTCGCCCCTTCCTTTCCCAGGCTCCGCCCCTCCCCTCGAGGCCCGCCCCTTCCCAGACCCCTCCCCTCGCGGCCCGCCCCTTCCTTCCCCAGGCCCCGCCCCTCCCCCTCGGGGCGGGCTCCTTTCCAGAGGAAGCATCTAGAACGCAGGCCCAGGTTCTGGCTACCCCAGGGTTTGTGATGTGTAAACAGCTTTGTTGTCCATCCAGTCGCGTCTGTGAGTTTCATGCGTCCCAAGGTGAATTCTTTGGTAAAAAAAAAGAGTCGTTTTGCTAGGAGCTTACTCACCCCCCGTGCATGTCTTTATTCATCTCTGGGTTCTGCACCCTCTTCCAGCTTCCCTCTGAGTTGCTCTCTTCACTGATCCTTTCTGACGATGCTTTCCGCCCTTGGGATCCCACAGTTCACACACGCTGGAACTGCTGAGATGGATCGTGTGGTCAGAAGGTAGAATTCACCAGTTTTTTGAAACAAGAGCTTTAACCCAAAGATTGTGGTGGGTGGGTAGCAGAAGGAAGAGAACCCCGCAAGCTTTCCAGCCTTCGAGACAGTGTGGGTCCCTTCAAATTGCCGTCCTCACCCCAGGCGTCACCCCTTACTTCTCCTGGAGGAGACAGCTGTATTTCACCAGGGATGCAGTGATTTATGTGCACCATTTAAGTAGTGTTTGGGAGTTCTGAGGAATGCACCATGCAGCATGACTTGACGGTACAATATACTTAGGGGAACATGTGGAATGCACCGAATGTTTTCTTTTCCTTCTTTTAAAGCTAGTTTAAATCTACTTCAGTGACGAAACTGTTTAACCATGTGCAAATGTGTAATTCTGCCTCCTGGCAGAATCAGCCAGGATTGGGACGGCTGGCCGTGCCAAGGCTGGAAGCCGGCTTAGTCACCAGGGGTTTTCTGAGCCATAGATTTACCCCTAAATTTGGAATACGCTGAAAGAATAAAGTGTGATGACTACTTTTTACAGAGTCAATGCCTTTCTTTATACCCCTTTTAAAAATATGTATGCTTTTAAGGAGAAAGGGGCATATGTTTTATTCTCCGCCCCCCCCCTCCCCCCCAGTGTAGATAGCTTGGGTATTAAACACAATTGAGTTTAATGATAAAATATTCTTGTTAAAAAGTATTGTCAGATTACAAAATTTTACTAATCTGGTGGGATGTGAAATGGTGTCTTGTTTTTAATTTGCATTTTCCTGATTATTTATGAGGTTGAATTTATGTGACCACCCCTCCCCCCCGCCCCCCTGCTTAGGGAAACACCTGTTTTTCTCTTTTACCCATTTAAAAAATTGGTTTGTTTGTCTTGAAAGCTTTTCTTTTTAAGGTAGAAACTGGTAGGGCAGATTCTTACCTCTAGTTTCCCAATGGCTCCGGATTGCAAATAAATGGCCCATGGAGAATGAAGCAGAAAATAGAGGAATGCTTTCCTAAAAGTGACTCTCTGGAAATTTGGATTTCAAAGGTAGAAAGTAAGCATACAGCTTCATGCTGAATAGCAAAATATACCAATATTTATAAAATGTCCCAAGATAGGTAACAGAAATAGCAGCGTGCTACATTTAAGTGAGAGAGATGAGTCGAATTCAGTGGCCTGTTTCCCTCCTGTCCTATTTCCCGGTGTTGAAATTTCAGTTTCGAGGATGGTTGTAGGAATGCGCTCCGAGTGCTCCTTCTGCCTTTGTACCTGTGCTTTAGACAGTGAGTGGACGCCAGTCATTAGTCTTCAAGTCTCTCCATTTCACCGGCGCTAAGCACGGGAAATCAATAGCGGATCATTTAATAATGCTCCAAAGACTTGAAAAGAGCCTGTTAAGGGAGGTTTAAACCAAAATAAAGGAACTTCAGAGTGGGTGTTCTTGTATTTGTTATTTTCCTTTGACTTGAAGAGAACTATTTGTAGCCCTGCGCCCTGTTGCTAGGATGGAAGTTGGCCTAGGCTGTCAATTCAGATGTTTCAGATAGGACAGAAGATAAGGTGTTTCAGCTTATTCCTGTGGCAGCATGGGAAAATTTGAGAGGAAAAGAAAGTGTGATTAATCACTTTTCAGCACACCAGTGTTAAGATGTGTACTTTAAAGTACAAATCACTTTGCAGTGATTTATAGCATTTTCTGTTTCTTATCTAAATTACTATGGAAAATAGAACTATTCTTAGAGATGGGGTAAAATGTACTATTTCCTACACTGTCTCTCATTATCTCCAAGTCTTGGATGCTATTTCTAAGATTGCAAATGTAAGATTTGGAAGTAGAAGCTATTGCGTTTTATTGCTATTGAGTCCATCCAGATAATGTTTCCTTTAAAAATGACTTTATGTTGTACCTTGATTGGGATGGGTGTATAGGTTCATCAACAATAATAGAATTGCAATTTAAAATATGTGCATTTTAGAATATGTAAATTATACCTCCATTTAAAAATAGAATTGGGCCCTGGTCAGGTGGCTCAGTTGGTTGGAGCATCGTCCTGTACACCAAAAGTTTTTGGGTTCCATTCCTGGTCAGGGCACATACCTAGGTTGCAGGCTTGATCCTGGTGGGGTTGTGTACATGAGTCAATCAATCGATATTTGTCTCACATTGATGTTTCTCTCTCTCTCTCTCTCTCTCTCTCTCTCCTTCTCTCACTCTTCATTCCTCTCTCCCTCTAAAATCAATAAAAAAACATATCCTCAGCTGAGGATTAAAAAAAGAGAGAGAGTAAATTGGGGGGAATGACATTTCCAAATCGCCCCTCTGGCTGGAGTGGTAGAGATCATATGAACTGGGAGTCCTCAAAGGATTCTTGGGGCCAATGAAAGGTCTAGAGCAGCCGTGGGCAAACTACGGCCCGCGGGCCGGATCCGGCCCGTTTGAAATGAATAAAACTAAAAAGAAAAAACAACCGTACCCTTTTATGTAATGATGTTTACTTTGAATTTATATTAGTTCACACAAACACGCCATCCATGCTTTTGTTCCGGCCCTCCGGTCCAGTTTAAGAACCCATTGTGGCCCTCGAGTCAAAAAGTTTGCCCACCCCTGGTCTAGAGTCAATGAGAGGTCTTTGGTCTGGCCCAGGATGTCATGTCCGGTGGTCTTGGTATCTAGGCGGAAATCTTTGTCGTCACTTTGAGAAAAGACAAAAGAGCAGGGATTATATTTTTAGTTGCCATAAACTTAACAATAAAAAACGTGAGCACATTTTTCTACTGATATTGTACCCATGGCCAGCTTGAGTTGGAAGAGATGTAATTATATCCCACAGTCCTTTGACTATTGCGAGGGCATTTGCATGCTTCCAAAATCTGAAGACTTGGATTTTACTCTAGTTATGGAAAACTCGGGTGTTACGTTCTTAAATATCTTCTCTTCCTCAAATTTCTATTCTTCGTTCTGTCTGGAATTTCTACTTGGTGTATATTTTGAAATTTCTTGATCTATTTTCCATAGCACTTAAATACAATTCCATAGTTTCTCTGTCCTGCATTCTGAGAAATTTCCTCCAATCTATCTTCTGGTTTATATATTCTTTCTTCACTTTTGTCTTATTTATTCATTATCCTGTTCATTGCATTTTTAATTTCAGTGACTATGTTTTCCCTTTATAGAGACTCAGTTTGATTCTTCTTCAAATTTGCTTATTGTATTGTTTTTATGTATTTTTTATTATGATTTCTATGATTGTGCTTATATCTTTAGTCGTGTCCCTTTCACAGGGGTCGCCTAAGACCATCGGAAAACACATACAATTACATATTGTTTTTGTGATTAATCACTATGCTTTAATTATGTTCCATTTGTAACAATGAAAATACATCCTGCATATCAGATATTTACATGACGATTCATAACAGTAGCAACATTACAGTTATGAAGTAGCAACGAAAATAATTTCATGGTTGGGGGTCACCACAACATGAGGAACTGTATTAAAGGGTCGGGGCATTAGGAAGGTTGAGAACCACTGGCTTAAGTCTTGTTGGCTAAAACTGCAGCACAGGCAGGGTTACCCCGGCTGCAAGGGAGATGAGCCATGAGCTTGTTCTTCACACCTTGCCTTTGATGTTTCTCTTTCTCTGTGCCACTTGGAGATTTCCCTCCCCCTTCTCTCCAACTTGGCTGCTAAAACAAATTTGAATGGTTTTAAATAATCCAGAATTTCTGTGCATTTGCTTAGGCTGTCACGTTGCCTCAAGAGTCATTCATTTGCCCCAAAGCTATATGGTTCGTTTGTTCATTCACTGAACAGATACTGAGAACCTACAGTTGTGAACAGAGTAGACTTTGGTGGGGCTACTGAAGCTGCCCCGTTTCCCCTTCTGCGTGCATCTGGAAGTTCAGAATTTGCACAGGCTCTGTTTTATTTCTCCAGCCCCACATATCCACAGTGGGGGTCCTCCCCAGAGAAATATTGCACTTGATTTAGAAAGCAATTCTGAGACCTGTAGCTGGGCACACGATGTTCAAAATATGTAGAAGAGGGCGGGGACAGACTGGCTCAGCTCTTCCTTACCTTTAATGAATTACCCTGATTATTTGCTCCACTGTCCCCTTAAGCTCTCCATACCTGCTGAGCTTCGAGTCTCCTGGGAAGAGTGGCTCCCACCTCCATGGCAGCCCTCACCAGTGTTTCAGTTTGTGATTTCCTTTGGCTTATCCATCAATAGGAGTCCACCTGCTTTCTTCTCTTTCATAAATTTGTCAAAGTTTCTAATCAGTGTCGGCATCCTTTCTTCTTTAAGCACTATTATGGAAACGTTAGTTTTTGTGTACCATGATTTCAATGGGGTTTGGGGAAGTAGGCTAAGTAAATGTTTATACGCATTTGCAACCTTGAACCAGAAGTTCCAGATACATGGTCATGCATCCTATTTGCTTAGCACTATCCTTGGCACTACACACTTGACAAGAAAATACAGTATGACGTCTAATCCTTAGTACCAGGGGCGTGTCGCAGGCAGCCTGCACCAACTCTAAAGAGCTGATTATTAAAATTGTAACCATTCTATGAGTTAGTTGACTTTGCTTTGGTATCTTGAAATTGACCCTGGTAGGAGTATATACCACTGAAATCAACAAACATTATGAATCAGCCCCACTCCACCTTGAGAGCTGGTTGCTAAACACGTATAGCACACCACTAGTCTTTACTCTTGGCCAAGCTGCGAGGAGACATATACTGAAGAAAAAGTCGAAGTCCAAGTAAAGTAGCCATCAAGTGCAAAACAGAGTGGCACAGACACGCCAACGGCTAAGGAATTCAGACAGAGAAATCAATGTTGACGGCAGTCGTTGAGGAAGCTGGGCAAGGTAGCAGCAGTGCAAACAGAGCATTACTGTTCCTGGCAAACGAAAAGCCAGAGTTCGAATTCTAACTCTTACATACTTTTGTGTGACCTGGGAGAACCACTGAATCCTTCTAGTAAGTACAATGACAGTCAACATTGACCTCATCCTTGTTATGGGTAGGCACTGTGCTAGGTGCTGTCCATAGATGAACTTAATCCTTAGTTTCATTAGTTGCAAAATGTCGCCCACCTCAAAGGGCTATCCTGAGATGGTAATTCATTTACTCTTTTAAACTCTCCATTAAATCAGTTTTTTTTTAACAGGCAAATTTCTTATAGAAGACTAGAAGCCCGGTGCCTGAAAATTGTGCACTGGGGGGGGAGGGGGTACCTTAGCCTGGCCTGTGCCCTCTCGCAGTCCAGGAGCCCTTGGAGGACGTCTGACTGCCGGCTTAGGCCCGCTCCCTGGGGAGCGGGCCTAAGCCATCAGTCAGACATCCTTAGTGCTGCTGTGGAGGTGGGAGAGGCTCCCGCCACCACCACTGCGCTCGCCAGCCGTGAGCCTGGCTTCTGGCTGAGTGGCACTCCCCCTGTGGGAGCGCACTGACCACCAGAGGGCAGCTCCTGCATTGAGCGTCTGCCCCCTGGTGGTCAGTGCGCATCATAGTGATGGTTGTTCCACCGTTCGGTCAGTTTGCATATTAGCCTTTTATTATATAGGATAAGCAACTTCTACATGCAGATTTTTCTTCCTGGGCCTTGAAAGATGGGTGAGATGCAGTCATGTGAAGGGACTTGTGGAGGCCATTTCCGAGTGGGTATCAAAGCATAGGGGGAAGGCAAATAGAAGTGCGGGTGCTGGTTCTGATGCTAGCCTGAGGGAAGTGGAAGTTGTACTTTGGGGAGTAGTTACAACTGAATGAGTTGAATGGGAACAGACTGGCGAGTCCTGTGTTCTAAGTAGGGAATTTAATATTTCACGTGATGGGAACTAGGGGGGGCATTGTAAGTTTTTGAAAGGGCAGAGAAATGATTAAAACAGGATTTTAGGAATAGGATTCTGGCAAGCAAAATGAGTTGGGAGTTGGGGGCAGAGACCGGAAGTATGAGGTGGCAGAAGTGGGAAAGAAATGACCAGGCCTGAGAGACAGGTCAGAACAGTGGTTTATATGACAAAGAATTTTGTAAAAAGACAAAATGAATTAGATTATTTTATAAATGAATAAGCTAGAAATATGTAGTCACAATATTTGTAAGAGCAATCTGAATCAGAAATTAGGAGAAATAAGCAAGGATTCTTTCTTCATTCCCCAACCCCCTAAAAAAACGAATTAAAAAAAAAAATATATATATATATATATATATGTATATATATATATATATATATATATTTCAGTGGAAAGTTTTCTTTTTTTCTTCCATTGCATGTGGTTTTGGGTACATTCTTTTAGTTCAATTAACTTAATGTGGATAAACTTTTTGAGTTTGTTTGGTTTTATAACAAAATTGTGGCATCTGTAGTTAATCCTGTTTTCCTAAGTACCCATAAAATGATGTTAAATAATGGTTTTATCATGGTTGGGAGCTATAATTTTTTTCTTAACCTCTACAGAGGGTGGAGAAAGGGGGGCAGGACATGCTACTGTGTAGACACGGGGGATGTTAGTGAGCTGAGCAAGCTCTGTCAGCGGGACTTGAATGTAAGGTTGAGCGGTGCTGATGCCATGCATGGGGCGCTGGGACCTTGCCCCCTTCTTGTCCTTGTGTTTGGCCCGCAGGGACACCAGAGGCTGTGTGTGGCACCCGTGAGCTGGGTTTCTTCCTCATCATTCTGGTAACAACCAGGTTTGTCAAAGGTCTCCCGTGACCTTCATGTGGCTAAACACAATGGAGATTTTGGGGTCCTCATCGTTTTTAGTTCTGAGCAGCCTTGACACTTTTGTTTTAGCTTAAACAACCGAAATTTACTTTCTTACAGTTCTGGAGGCTGGAAGTCTGTGATCAAAGTGTCATCAGGTTGATTTCCGCCGAGGCCTCTCTCTGGCTTGCAGATGCTACCCTCTCGCTGTGTCCTCGCATGGTCGTTTCCATGTGCGTGTGCTCATAAAAGATCGGCCTGGAGTGAGCCAACAACCATAGCTAGTATCTTCATAGGTAAACACGCTTGCTGAGTGCGTCTGGTTTTGTTTTTCATTTAGTTCCCCCGCTCCCCCCATTCTCTTTGAGTTGGTGAGAAAGTCAGCCTCGTCAGAGCGGAAGGGAGGTGAGAAGCGTTTGGTTTAGGTGGGTGATTTTGCATTCTGGACTTGGATGAATTGTGGAAGTCAGGGATTCTCCCGGTGACCTCTCCAAGTTGAGAATATGCTGTAGCAATTGTGCCAGTTAAAATGATCAACAGAGGAAACATAACTGGTGAAAACAATTAGAGTCAATTCACATAGCAAGGTTTGGCCTAAAAAAAAGAATATTTGTTGCTTTTACTTAGACGTATCAAAAACAGCTGTCTAAGCAATATATTTTGATGCATTACTAACTTTCTTTATAACTTTGTCTTTAAGCAGGCTAACCAGTCATTGGTCAGAACACTTACTGAGTGCCTATATTGTGCCAATGTTTACCGTGTTACTCAATCTTCTCATTTTATAACTTATCCTTTTCTCTTTCTCTTCCTCCTCTGCCTCATCCTTTTTTTTTCTTTCCCCCAGACTCTTAATTTTCCTACTCATATTTGTCTTGAATTTTTTATTCAGTTTTTCTTTATCATATGCATATGAGATTTTTTTTTAATAAAATCTATTTCCCTCTCTTCTTGGAAAGAATTATCCTTCAACTGGAAAAGTGAAAAATAGCCACCAATCTTAAACATAAAAATAATTATGCAAATATATAATATGCTGTTCTTCAGTTGTTAGGAAATAATGAACTTGAACTTGGTCATTAGTGCACATCCTTGCTTTTTAGGGAATTTCTATCAATTTTGAGAACCATTCTTGCGTTCCTCACTCAGTTCCTAACAGAGCCAGACTGGCCTCGCTAAGAGTGAAATAATCTTAGCAGCTATGAAAACCTGCAAGAAAGCAGAAAGCCTTCAGCCTCCGTGTTTACATTGGTACTGATCTGAATGGCATGCTGTTAACTCAGCATAAAGCTATGCTTTTTAAAACAATTCAAGTTCAAGGGCATCCCGTTTATAACCAATCATGTTCCAGGCCTATAAAGTGTTTGCAGTAACAATCCGAACTGACATGTAAGTTAAAGCTCACCCTGGGCAGCTTAAATTTGCACGATTAGCCTGGGACTTGCTCATCTCCTAGCATCTCATGATCAACTGCAATTCACACTTCACAGTTCTAGGAATCGATGTCCATGATACACCGTTATATTATTATTAAATCAGGTTGCTTTGCAATTAACCCAATACGACACCTATACAAATGATTCAAATAAAGAGCCTCATGTTTCACGGGAGACAATCAATAAAGTGAAATCACAGCTACCGACAATGCCAGCGGTTTGGCTTGTTACTATAGTGCCACATTTTTCTCAGGTGTTTTCTCGGGCCGAGGCTGCTCTTCCCGCACTGAATCGCAGCAGCTATACCTCTCGGTATTGGCCATGCCCATGCCTCACCAAAGCATAACATTCAAACACGTTCGGCCATTGCTAACCATCTTCGCTGAGTCATGGAACGTTACAATCAATATGGGATGTACTAAGTCGTCAGTTTTCCTTCTTTGCTCCCAACATGGAATTAGGGCTTCTTTGCCCAGGAAAGGCTCCTTAATGGTGAAAAAGAAAAGAGCTGCATTGTTGATTAAGTTCTTAGAAAAACCCCGATCCTTGCTCTTCCCCTTGCACAAATGTTTTATAATGAGATGTCTGAAAACAAAACCAAATCATAATAGCATCTTTCCCAGTTATTATTGCCATTCTGTAGCTTTATTTTCTCTTTTAATTAAGTAAAAGAACTTCACCACCTTTCACAAAAATATTACAACCCCCTATTATGCTAAGTAAAATAAATCAGTCAGAGAAAGACAGTTCCCATACGACTTCACTTATATATGGATTCTAAACAACAACATAACCGAACAAACAAATTTGAAACAGACTCAGAGAACTGACTGGTTGTTGCCAGAGGAGAGAGGGCTTAGGGAATTGGGTGAAAAAGGTGAAGGGATTAAGAAGTACAGATTGGTAGTTACAGAATAGTCACAGGGATGTACAGTACAGCATAGGGGATATAGTCAATAATATTGTAATAACTATGTGTGGTGCCGGGTGGGTACTGGAAATATAGGGGAGAATACTTTGTAAAGTATAGGATTGTGTAACCACTAAGCTGTACACCTGAAACTATACACAATAACATTGGATGTAAACTGTAATTGAAAAATAAAACTAAAAAAATATGACAACCCTCTTATTATGTCACCCTCTTTTGGCAGATGTTGCCAGTGTTTGTCTGCCAGACAACTTGGTGTAGAGAATCCCCATGTTGAGAGCAGGGACGGTGTACCACCTTCAGACGTCTGACAGCTGTGCACAGACGTCCACTAGGTGTTTGCTGAGAGCCCATCTGAATACTGCCTTTTTAAGGCCTCATAACTCCTTAGTGTAAGTAGACTGACCTTGACCTATGGAGCATTCAGGACAGGCACTGACCACAAATGTATCTTGTCCATGTCTCTCTTTATATACTTGTTTCCAAACAGAGCCCAGCCAGGTCCGGGTATGTTTCCATGAGGCCATTCTCATCTCCTGAAATAGAGAGAGTGGAACAGTAAGTATGGAAAACGTCTCTCTTTTTAAACACGGAGTGGATGATTGGAAACAATGACTTATTCAGTAATCTAAGCAGAGTCTGTTGTCCATGAATCATACCGCATACAAAAAGGTGAGGGAAATGTTCAGTTTGCCATTTCTCCCTGGCCAGGGAGGAGAGCATGGGGTGAATCGAGGTTTTCGTGCTGACTGTCCTGGGAAGCTAACTTGGGAAGCCACAGGTGAAAACAGAGTGGGAAGTGCATCCTCAACAGGAACGCAATGGTCCTAAGCTCTGAGAGGCCCCAGACGCCCCTCCGCTGCTTACACGGGGGCAAAGGTCTGCAGAAGAGCTCTTGCATGTCCCCCCCGAGAAGTTACCCATGGATTGGGGAAAAGACACGCGACTTCTTGGAGGGGGCGGGGAGGTAACCGGCTGCCTGAAAAGAGGAACACAATTGCATGCACTCGCTCCTGTGAAAGAAATTCATTTAAGAGCAATTGGATTAGAGATGGAGATTTACATGGATGAATTTAAGGAAGAGGATCGGGTAAGACAGTAAGGATGTACCTCACTCATTTGCTACAAAACTATAAAAAGCATTGGGGACTTACAGTGCTAAGTGGAAAATGGGCCACTAAATTGTAATTAAACTATGATTGCAATTATGTAAAGTAAGTTTGCTATGGACAAAGGCTGACCGGGGATACAGAGAAATTAACACAGTTATTGTGCTAATGTAGTGATGTTATTTCTTTCCCATTGTTTGAATTGTGTGGGTGTGAATGTGAGGGCAGGGGTGGGGAGAGGCTATATATAGAGTCCAACAGAAAGAGTTACACAGGGAATTAGGAAGCCCGTGGTTAAGTTTCACAAGGCATGCCAGCTGTGAACTTAACCTCCCTGAGCGTCAGTGTCCTTATACAGAGAGTGGGAATCAGCACCTGCCCTGCACCATGGGGTAGTGAAAACACTTTGTAAATCGAAAGTATTGTAAGAGACTGTGAAAAGTCAAGACCAGAGTTCTGTGTAGAACAGAGACTTAAAAATCCAGAACTCAAAAGTCACCTGAATCTCTTCCCAGCAGTCACTGTGGGAGCTGGACAGCATGTGCCATCTCATTTAATTGCACAATGTAGAATTTACACTCACTTATTGGGCACCTACTACTTGCTTTACCAACCAGGTTTCCCAATACTATTTGTAGAATAATCCATTTATCGAAATAATTGGAAACGCTTCCTTTATCAAATACCCATGCTGATTTCTAAGCTCTATTGTTTCACTGCTCATGTTCTGTTTTTTTTGTTTTGTTTTGTTTTGTTTTGTTTTGTTTGTTTTGTTTGTTACTCCTCACCCAAGGATATTTTTCCCATTGCTTTTCAGAGACTGGAAGGGCGGGCGGGGGTTGGGGGGGTGGGAGAGAGAACATCAATGTGAGAGAGACACATTGACTGCTTGCCTCTTGAATGCACTCTGACCAGGGGTGGGGGGCAAACTCACAACCCAAGTACGTACCCTTGACAGGGAATCGAACCCACCACCCTCTGGTGCCTGGGCCTATGCTCTGACCACTGAGAACCACTGGCCATTGTAGCCTTATAATATTTTTAATCTGGTAGGACGTTTTGTGGGTTTTTTGTTTTTGTTTTTAATAAGATCCAGGGTAGAACGGGAGCTATAAAGAAGGATCACCCAGGTTGGGCGCACGCAAGTGAGTAACCGGCCCAAGGGCGCCCGGTCCTAGAAGACACTCTGGAATCAGAGAATGTTTAGTTCAAATCTCTGTTTACTACTTACCATTGGGGTGACCCAACGAACAAGCCTTGATCTCTCTCTTTCCTCATCTGTAATGGAGGATAATAACACCCACCTCGAAGCTGTGTGGATTAAATTACTAAATGAACGTGGGTTCCCAGCAGGGAGCCTGGCACACAGAGGTCGCCATCCTGCCCTCGCTGGGTGTGCACCCCCAGCTGTGAGGACGCAGCTCCCCTTGGATTTCTTGCATCTGCAAAGGGAGGAAGAGCGAAGAATTGTCACCATTTCCACGTAGCATTCTGAAGGCTCGTCCACTGTGCAGAGATACATGATAACTGTATAGTAAGGAAGTGGCATTTAAATTCTACATATGTATTTGCTGCTCCTGGAATATGGCAAAGCAGGCGACGCCACGTGCCATATAATTCATAAAATGCACCGTCATGCAGCCCAGAGCGTGGGATGTCAAACCCTGAGGGATGCCAGGTGGGGTGTCCCTGTCAGGCCTCGAGGGGAGCGGGGAAGAGGGGGAAGTTGTCCAGGGCGATGAGAACAGGGGAGGGAAGAGGTGGAAAATAGCGGGGCCTCGCTTCTCTCTCCTGCTCAGCAAGTTTGGATTTTAAGTGATTGGGGGCAGAGATCACATCTATCACCTCCCTGTTAGTAGTCATTTCTAAAAGATTATTGCTTAATATTGACACTATTTGATGACCAGAGTGAAGAAATGTCACACAGGACCTCAGAGTCACCCTCCGTCACCAAGAGTGGCCAGGAGGACTCTCCCGGGAAGGCTGTCTTCTTGCCCCAGGATGTGATGGATGGAGTCTGATCATAATTAATTTTAATAGAGACCTGACGTGATGTGATAGAATCTTGGCCATTCAAATGAAGTAGTACCAGCCAGCCAGCTTGGACAAAAACAATCAGTTCTCCCTCACCATTGGCTTTAGAACAAGTCAAATCCAATTAAACAGTATTTATTGATTGAGTGATTTTGTGCCCAGCACTATAAAAGGTGTACAAAAGAAGGACCCTGTCTAACATCCACTGTCTGGGCTGGACAGACAGGAAATATAATCTATAATAATAAAAGCATAATATGCAAATCGACCGAACATCTGAACAGCAGAACGACCATCCAGACAACCTTCCAGATGACCACGCTATGACACGCACTGGCGCCAGGCCAGCCAAGGTGGGTGCGATGCTATTGGGTCAGGGGGCCCGCCATTGCCCCTTGATTGCCCCAGGGACGATCCTCCGCGATTGTCCCAAAGAGGGAGGCCCAGGCCACCCTCTGTGGGGTGATCGTTGGGGGGCTTCGTGGAACTGGGGAACCAGGGTGTGTGGTGGCAGACACGGGCCGGGTCAGGCCAAGGTGGGTGAGGGCGGGGGGTGGGGCCGCGAGGCAGCTGGGGCTGCGAAGGCCTACCCTTGCACAAATTTCAGTGCATTAGGCCTCTAGTGAAATAATAATAGGTACCATCTGTTGAGCCCCTGACTTACACGCCATGCACTGTGATGTGCTTGGTGTACACTACCGTGAATTCTTTCCACGAATGTTTCTTGAGTGCCTCTTATGTGCCAGGCATCCTAGTTTCTGGGAATACCCACCAGGCCACAGGGACAGACAGTGCCTGCCTTTGGGAAACCCACATTCTAGTGCTTATAGACAAGTATCTAATATCATGTCAATGATAAATGCTGTGAAGAACAGCAAAGCAGGGTAAAGGCATGGGAGGACCCAGGTGCATGGAGGGGATGCTTTAGGGCAGCCCCTCTGAAGATGTGACCTGGGGGGACTGGTGTCCACAGCGAGATGAGGGTGGTGTGCTCAAGGCCCAGTGTGGCTGGGATGGGAGGAGGGAGGAGGAGGGGGCAGAAGAGTAGACGGACAAATGACTAAGCCATGGAGGGCCTTGCGGGAAATAAGCATGTCAGGTTTCATTCTGAGGACAATGGGAAGCTCCCAGGAACTGTGAGCAGGGGAGAGATACCTGGGAGCAGACTCTGAGAGGACAACCATATGTAGGAGACTTGCTCTCTGGCTGTAAGAACGGGAGACAGGCCAACTGGAGGAGGCAGAGGGTGTCTTCTGAACTGATCCTGCTGTGGCCCATGGCATTGGGATGACCCTTCAGAGTTTTCCCAGTTGAGGCAAAGGGCTGGACCTTGTAAACTGGCATCAACCAGTTGGTGTCTCCTGAGAGGGGTGGCAAAGCTGGGCGAGGCAGCTCCCTTGGGGTTGGCAGATGCCTGAAGAGGTGCCGGCCATGGGCCACCAGCAGTCAACAGTGCAGCAGCTGGACTATGACACCTCAGTCCTAAAAAGGGCATCTGGGTGCACACTCCAGCTCCCACAATGCATCTGCTTGTGTTCAATACTCACAACAGGCCTCCACGTTAAGCATTTTTAGCTCCTTTCTGAGACTCAGGGAATTTAAGCAAAACTGTTCAAGGTCACTTACGAGCATATCTGAGTACAAAGGCCATGCATGTAAAAAATGTAAAATATACACACCATAAAATGTATCATTTTCGCCATTTTAAGTGTACAGTTCAGTGGCATTAATAACATTCATATTGTATAACCATCATCACCATCATCTCTAGAACATCTTCCATCTTATAAAAGTGAAGCTCTGTACCCATTAAACAATAACATAATACAACAATACTATTAATATTAAACATAATAATAATAATGTTAAACAGTAACTCCTCATTCCTCTCTCCCTCCAGCCCCTGGCACTGACCTTTCTAATTTCTGTCTCTATGAATTTCACTATTCTAGGGACCTCATATAAGTAGAACCATACTGTATTTGGCTTTTTGTGTCTGGCTTATTTCACTGACCATAATGTCTTCAAGGTACATCCATGTTGTAGCATGTGTCAGAATTTCCTTAAAAAAAATCCTCACCAGAGGATATGTTTATTGATTTTTTAGAGAGGAAGGGAGAGAGAAAGAGAGAGAGAGAGAGAGAGAGAGAGAGAGAGAGAGAGAGAGAGGAAGAGAAGAGAAGAGAAGAGAAGAGAAGAGAAGAGAAGAGAAGAGAAGAGAAGAGAAGAGGAGAGAAAAGAAACATCTTCCATATGCTCCCCAACTTGGAATCGAACCTGCAACCTAGGTATGTGCCCTGATCAGGAATCAAACCTACAACCTTTTTGGTGTATGGGATCATGCTCCAACCAGCTGAGCCATTTGACGAGGGCTCCTTGTTTTTTAAGATTGAATAATACTCCATTGTGTGAACATACTACATTTTGTTTATTTGTTCTGTTGATGGGCATAATAGCCACCATTTGGCTGTTCTTTGAACATGTCTGTAAAAATGTCTGAATCCCCATTTTTTATTATTTGGGGTATATACCCAAAAGTGGAATTGTTGGATCTTAAGAAACTTTCATACCATTTTCCACAGTAGTTGCACCATTTTACATTCCCAATAGCATTGCACAGGGTTCCAATTTCTCCACATCCTTGCCAACACTTCTTTTCTTTCCTTTATTCCTTTTCTTTTCTTTGGATAATAGCCATCCTAATGGCTGAGAAGTGGTATCTCATTGTGGTTTGAAGACCATGCATTTTTTATGCCACCCTGCATCTCAGAAAGGAATCCAAGATTGCCAGCATGCACCCAATCCCATGATTCCTTCTGCAGGTGAAGCTCAGATGTTTTCCTTGGGTTAACAGTGAGCTGCACAAGACACTCTGAATGTCCCCTGAGACCTCCAGACACCTGAAGAACAATACAAACTTTGGCACCGTATCCTGAATCAGTCTTTACAGTTCTGCTCAAGGACCCTGAATAGTTTATAAACTTGTGCTTTTCTTTGCACACTTAACAGTTGGCATAATTTTTATCATAAATTTAAATATTTTGTTGCAAAAATGTAATTGCTAGCATATTGTAAAATTGACATTTTATTTTTAATTATTTTTTAAAAAATATATTTGTATTGATTTCAGAGAGGAGAGGGAGAGATAGAAACATCAATGATGAGAGAGAATCATTGATCGGCTGCCTCTTGCATGCTCCCTACTGGGGATCGAGCCTGCAACCTGGGCATGCACCCTTGACCGGAATCGAACTTGGGGCCCTTCAGTCCGCAGGCTGATGCTCTGTCCACTGAGCCAAACTACCTAGGGCAATATTGACATTTAAAATAAAACTGTTGCATCGCTATTTTAAATGTGTACAAATGGCATCTAAATCCTATAACAGTTTGTTACTCACCATCATCCATTTAAGAAATACACAAACAAGCTTATCCTTAGCAAGCAAAATTTATATATTTTTGTTTTCTCTTTGAAATTTTATTTCCATCTACTTCCCCTTCAGAATTTATGCTAATGTGTTATTTATGACGAACATCTTTTACTGAGCATCCTGTCATACTTTTATTTATCAAGCATATGTATAAAAATATAAATTTATACACTTACAAATTCCTGTGACCCTAGGCTTTAAGTGTTTTCTCGA